ATATGAAAACCTCTTTCTTGAACATGTTATATGTGTCCTGTTACTTTCATCCATGTGCTTAATAGATGTGTCGTATCTTTGTTGGACATAATTTTGGTTTACATAACATTCGACACAACAAGAATATGACACACAAGCACAACTTGCTGCCGGTTGGGTAGTCAAAAGTTCTCGTAAGCAACTCAATACGTTCTCCAAGCATATTAGGCTTTAGGTAATAAGATCATTAAAAAACAGAAATAACACAATAAAATGATTGCCTTGATCATAAGGTTAACAAGTACCAACAATCGAATGCAGAAGAGAAATCAGGTAAAGATATTAGCAAGATACAAAATTGTTGAACTTGGCACAAATATTGTGTCGGTAAAGCTTCCCAAAGTCAAGAGCCCTTGCACGCACACATGCTTTTGTGACTGCCCGACATAGGGTCGCGGTTTTAAATTCCCATGAATTCGAAAATTTGACAATAGTTTCTTCAACATCAAATATACGAAGCAAACACAACGACGATTATATAGATATAACATCTCTATTCACAAGCAAATTTCCTGACGGCATAATCGTTCCTGATCTATTATATATACTCTCCGCTTCAACTTGACCGCACCAGGTGCACATCCCTCGAATGAGATATTTAGACTTAAAGCCCCCTACTAACAAAGAACCATCGCTCTGGCATCTACAATCCACGTCGAAATTCCTCAGCAGCAAAAAGAAAAGCCTAACAGACAACAAGCACGCTACCTGCGAAACCAAGGGGCTGAGCACTAGAGGAGAAGGAGCTGTGATTCTTAAATTCCACGACTTGGTTGTCATAAGGAGAGACGAATCCAATTGAAGCTGAGATGAATCAGAGGCTTGAAATGCAGTAGAGTCTGTGAGCTCTCGAGACGGCGTGCATGGGTTCGACGCCATCGAATCACGAGTCGACGAGCTCTAGAGCCTGAAGGTTATGTTGTTTTTTTTTTTTGGGCCATATGAAGGTCGTGTTGCTGCTGAGCGAGTTTTTGATACTTTTATAAGCTTTGAGGAATAATACTTCTGATCACTCAATCTATTTATGATAATAAATACTTGAACAAAAACATACGTTTTTTATACTAGTAGATATTGCATTGAACTAACATTCTTCTCTCGCCAAAAAAAAAATTAACATTCTTAATTCTACTCCAAATTCTAGGACATCTTTTTTCTTTTCTTCGTTAATTTTCTTACGTTACATCACATATTATTGGTTCATTACCAAGACCATAACCTATCAGTATTTTTACTACACCAGCAATTGCACGTTGAAATTTTCTTTCTCCCTCAAAATCTGAATTTGACTCATCATATTCAGTGCATTACATTTCTTCGGCTTTGAACAAGCTTCGCAACAGACTTGAACTTCAGCATTCTACTTTTCCTAATATGTGCATTAATAACAAAATCCCTACCCTAAAGAATGGTAACTGGGCCACTCCGGCCCAGAACCAGCACAGACCGGCCCTCTTGGGCCCGAGCCCATGAGGGGCCGTACCAGACCAGGCCCGTTAGCAATAAGGGGCCGTGCCAATGCCCGGGCACTGGCCTAGGGCCATTTTTTTTTAAGAGCGATTGTAGTCTGAACAAAAAAGTGAAGATGGCAACACTAATTTAAGATCTCAATGATGATTTTTCATGAATTTAATTATGAAAGAAATTCCTCGTAGAAAAGGAAAATAAGGGGCAAAACAGGAAGGAGGAGTTATGAACTTTTTCCTGCCACCGAAATGCATCCTTCATATGTTTTTTTTTTTATTATCCTTGTGCGCTTCTTTCGACTAAAATCTTGCGGACAGCACAAAAGGCACGCTAAAGCATTGGCGGCTCTTCTTCTTTTCCACATTAGCATGACCCCATCTTCTTTTTCTTTGCCTTATTGCTTTATACCTTTCCATTATTACATTACTTTTAACAAGATTTTCCCTTGCATTCTCTCTGGAGCAGTTTCGCCAACGATTGAGGTCCCCACGAAATAGTTTTATGCTAACAATTATGGATTTTTTTTCAATTTTGTTAAAAAAAAATGTGCATTATTGCTCAATAAGCACTTGCTCTCCATCATTTGAAGTTTGACAAATAGTCCTGGTTATTTATGAGTAATGTTAATTAGTATGCTACAATTGATATATTAATTGACATGACCAAATCTCAAATTAACATTTAGCAAGTGAATATATAGATTTATGAAAATAAATACTATACAAGCGTGAAAATCTGGATAGTCCTCATTTTCTTTTTAAAAAAATCACTTTTGGAAAAAGTGAGTTTTTCGGATCTCATTAGCCTAATATTCTAGAGAATCTTGACCTTTCCACTTGCTATTAAAAATGTCCCGAACATTCAACTTTATCACGGAGAATATAAGCTTTCAGTTTAATATTAAGAAGTGATGAAATCTTAATTTTCTTTAAAAATGTTCCCACCTTTCAACTTTATCAAAGTTAATTTAGATATTGTAGGAGGATGTCCATGACTTTCTATACTTACGTAAAGCCAAAAACTTGAATTTGGTGTCCTCACTCAAAATATTCATCGTACCCTCGACATATATTATTCTGAGGTAAAATTGTTGTGTAATGAATGGGCAGAGACGGAAAGCATTGTTTTTATTTTTTCGTTGACCACTATATGCACCAACAGGATTTGAAGATGGACAGAGGAAACAGAATAAACTAATGACAACTCCTCTAAACGTGGAAGTGGAAGTTGTGAATCAAAGCTTGCTACTGACTACCCATTACTAACAAGTGATGTATGTAGGTTCTGTATCTTTGGCACCACGATTGGACAGTTCAATCTGATAAAATCAAGAGGCGACGGCAGTCACTGTATACCATCATCGAATGAGTCGGGATTACATGCACTCTCTTAATTTTGGACAGCAAAATTCTGTCAGAAATATAATAGAATAGGCTGCAAAATCAGATTGAAAATGAAAGGAACACCTTATCTATTGTCATCTCTGAACTGAAATTTGGTCCATCTAAAATGCGTGAGCCAAAAGATCCTCTCTGCAAAAACTAGTCATCTGAGGATTGTTCCCAGACTTCAATTGTTGATGATGCACCTATTCTCTCAGATACACTTACTTTTTGGGGAAAGAAAATAATCGTTATCTGAAAGTACAGGAATGATAACATTCAAATCAAAGAACGAGCAGAACTTCAAATGGTTCGGGGACCTTCACAAGAGAACTTCAGATGCTGGTTGCTCGAGACGTGATTACTGCACTTGTCTTGCTTCTCAGCGGAATTGGCTGAAACTAACGTGGCAACCTTAATGGCCCACATAGGAGACAGATCTGCAGCTAGTCCATTCAATCTCCAATTCTGTCATACTTTAACAAAGGGTGCCTTCGGTGGTTAGTTCTTCCATATTCACTTTCACCTCCAAGCCTGTGTTTAATAAGGAACTAATCATGGCCGGGATGATGGCTTTGAGAGTAGCAGCCAATGCCTACATGAGCGAAGAAAATGCGAGGTTGTAAAAACTTTGAGATAGTTAAATGCAACATATATACAACTAGCAACAGGAATGATTGGGAAAATATTACCAGAGCAATATATAACTACAAACAAGTAATATTTCTACTTCTACCCAAAGTGATAAGGATATTTAGTCAAAGTAAGTACCTTGTGGTCATCTTCTTTCTTCCGTTTGATAACCTCGACAGGCCACTCACTGACAAGCTTTTGAAGTTCAACCATAATGCTGGACCTCTTGGCATCAGGTAAACTCTGGCATCAATCCAAGGCATTCACTTCATGAGAACTAAGAAGCGACATCTGAACAAACAGAGCCTATGTAGGTGTATTTCCAACTCACTATTAGGACCATGGAACTCACTTGTGTAATTTTAACCAAACACTACAGCAAGCACCAAATATGAAACCCAAATCAACCAGTCACCCTCAACGAGAGGATCTGTCACAGTAATTTTATCTGAGCACATTATGGGGGACAATTCAGTATGTCTTCCACTAATTGTTTTATTCCTTAACAGGATATGGAAAATTAAAGGACTAGTTCAAAGGCGGAGGTAATTTAGGATACAAGTCCTTGAGCTAGGAGATCATGCCAGATGGTGAGCATATCAAAATAGCTATAGATGCTCTGAGAAGTGAAGCACCTGATTCAAGACATGAATCACTGTAGCAGCCTCCTCAGGTTTTCCTAAATCCCTGCACAAAACATTGGATATGAAACCATTTAGTTGACCACAAAACAAGTAAATGACAATCAGTTAAATTTTAATCTTACACCGGAGTGCTAAAAGCCACAATAAATGCTTCCAAATAGAGAAAAGTACTCATATCTCCTTTGTGTGTTGACAATGAATATTATCATGCCCATGGGTGCTTCATGTCCTAGGGTGTGAGCCAAAATTTGGTTTATTCAAGCATGAACTCTCACTTTTTTTGGCCATAGACCTCTCAGCTGGTTTACCAAGAACTTTGTACTGATATCTATTGCAACTTTACTGTTTTCCCATGATCAGATTTTCGCATGCAAGAAGACCAAGTGCTTTCAGGGTCTGATATTTGTGATTTCAACAGTCTGTGTTTGCAAATTACCTTCGCACATGAGAACCCACTGCCCACGGTGTGCTGCTCCATGGACTCAGATCTTAACTTCTCAATTTTCCATAGAGATTCAACGTCTCGTAAAAATGGTAATTTCCGTCAAACCACTAAATAGGATATAGAAGCAAAATCTCATAACAAATAAAGAAACAAAGACGTTGAAAGACACAGTGTAGTGAAAATTCTTTTTATTTCTTATTTCTACCTTTATGTTTACGGAGAGAAAGAAATCATTGTACAGAAGAATATATTCTAGCACATCCTGTCTTTTGTAGTAAGTGGCAGGACCTGGATGAGAAAACTATTCGTGGGAAGAAAAAGAAAATATAAATTGCTGAGGGACAAGGGCTAGAGAGCATCAAAGGGAGACACAGCGAGTGTTTCTCACCTGCTTTTGCAGCAAACTCCATCCAGATATCAAATGCAGCTCTATGCAATTTCACCCCAACCTTGACAAATCTCTTCAAATACTTTGTGACCAACCCTCAATTGTCTGTATCATAACAAATGCTGCATAATTTTCCATGGAAAAAAGCATGTCAAATAACATGAGTAAACTATAAGATTGAGAGTAGCAATGCAGACAAAATGATTAAAATAAAAACAAGTTGATTAAATCATATAAAAAAAACACTTATAAATTGGATAAATTGCTTGATAACTATGTAGTATATTTCATACAATATTTAAGTGCTTTAATGGCGTACTACATGATAATAACATCCTTCTCAGGATAAACAGCACGAAAGCAGGATAAACAGCACGGAAGTGAACCTGAAAACAATATCGGCTGTGCTGGGTTGCAACGGCAAGTTATTCATCTTCAAAAGCTTCATAACTTCCTGCATGAGGGTAGCATCTTTGTGCTCTTTAGCATATTGCTACATTTCAATACCATAAGTTAGCAGAAGAAATATGTAAATAAAACAAATGGAAAAAAATAATCACTTGATGTAGATACACGTCATCATTACCAATAAATGGTTTGCAGAGCCAATTGTAGGGGTCAATCCATAGACATTATGCTTCCATAAGGCCTTCTTACCCACAATTTTGTCAACCCTTAGTTTCTATCATGACGGACTAAGGCACCATGCAATTCAAATTCTTAGCCTATATAAGGATTGCTGCAATTAATATAGATTCTAATTATATCATGTACTCCCAGTAACAATTAATTGCTGCAATCTCCTGACATGAGTTATACTATGAAACTACAGTTTTTTTTTTGTTTGTGGTCAAAATACTATGGAACTACAGTTTGATTTGATTTAGTTTGCTTAAAAATCATGAAGAGCTTAACTACTAGAATCAGCTTGAACTGATAACTACTGAAGCTATCAGTTCATAAAAACACATATGCACAAAGTGAATGCTCTTTGCTAAGTTTCAACAATGAATACAATTACTTGAAGTGGAGGTGTCATGCAAGAAATCAAAGTCTTAGAGAGCCAGCAATGTGCGGAAAGACCCATTTACAGAATAAGTGTTTGATACAGTTGGGTTGAGCTTAATAATGTCCGAGTAATAAACGAGTTAACAAGTTTGTACATGAAAAATAAAGATGTCATGATAGGCCCTTTGACCCTTTAAACACATCGAAGCATGTCAAGCAACTTAACGTGTTACTCACACAAGACACGTTTATACACATTTAACAATTTTATATGTAATTGAATTGAATGTGGTTTCACACATTCACATATGAAAAACTATTTCTTGGATATGTTATATGTGTCGTGTAATTTCCATCCACTTGCTTAATAGATGTGTTGCATCTGTGTAAACAAATTTCTGGTTTACATAATTGATGCAGCAAGGAAAAAAAAAACACAAAAGCACAACTTGCTACCAGTGGGGTGGTCAAAAGTTCTCATAAGCGACTGAATTTGTTCTCCAAGCCTGACAGGCTTGAGGTAAAAAGATCATTTGAGAACAGACAACATACAATAAAATGATTGTGCTAATGATAGGGTCTACAAGTAGCAACAATCGAATGCAGAAGAAGAATCAGGTAAAGATATTAGCAAAATACAAAATTTTTGAACTTGGCACACAACTCGTGTAGATAAAGCTTACCAAAGTCAAGAGCCCTAGCACGCACCCATCCTTCTGTGACTTCCCGACAAAGGTTGCAGTTAAAATTCTCATGAATTCGAAGATTTGAGAATCTCTGCAATGAAAGGAAAAAACAGGTTAATTTATCAACTATTCAATAATTAAAACTTTACTTCTCAAATGGAGCAAGAAGTCAACTGACAAATCTGCGTAGGTTCTGCAAGACATCAAAGAGAAGCTTAGTATCCTCTCCGTTCTTGCAATTTTCAATCATCGACCACGTTCATGCGTTTGGAGCCATTGTTCTTTTCGTATTAACGGATTCAATAATTTTATCATGCATCTCCTTCACGGTCTCTGCGTAATATAACAAGAACCAAATATCAGAGAAAGAACTAAACAATTTGTCAAGCCACATATTAGATGGAGAAAAAGGAAAAACCTGTGGGGGGGTTCCTCCTTTTCAGTACTTGCTTCGGAAGAATACGGTAAACGCAAAATTATTGAATAAGGGGCTGCAGGCAATCTATTGCCATGAACCGGCCCCGTGAATTCCATCGACATCACATCAAAACCTTTTACTGCCAAGAGAAAAGCAGCTCCCTCTTGTACCAACAAGGAAACAAACTCATTCAACCCAGAACCGACATTCAAGAACACGAAGCAACTCGACTCGACGAACCAATTCGACACGATCGATTCCATTACACAATCACGTCTCCGATATCATATATACGAAGCAAACACAATGGACACAATTAAAAAAAAATATGACATTTCAATTAACAAGCACAATCCTCACAGCATAATCATCCCTCCGTTTCAACTTGACTACACCAGGCGCACACATCCCTCTCGAATGAGTTATTCAGACTTCTTCATCAATCATCAAATTCTCCACCCCCTCACATCGAGACATCATCAAACTCAACCTAAAAAAAAGCACACCCGCCCCCCCACACTAACAAAGAACCATCACTCTGGCATCCACAATCCGCCGTCGAAATTCCTCTGACGGACGAGAAGCGCACGCTACCTGCGAAACCGAGGGGCTGAACAGCAGCGGAGGAGAAGGAGGAGGAGGAGCCGCGGTTTCGACATGCCTGCGCACAAATCTGAGCGCATTCCGCGACTTGGCAGTCGTTCGGGGGGATGAATCCGGCCGAGCCGAGATGAACCGGAGGCTTGAGAATGCGGCGGAGCGAGGTGGTCGTGTTGTGTGCGATGAGCGAGGTTTTTCTCTTTGGCTTGTTCAGGGTTTTACGAGGAGGAGGAGGAAGAAGGAATGCGGTGATGTTCTCCCGTGGCGGCGTCCACGGCCGCTTACGGTGCGGAACAATCGAAACTTTTTGCAAATGACACTCTCAAGTGGAAGAAGATAGTGTTTAAGATAATGTCGAGAGGATAAACGTTCAGAAAATGCTTATTATTTAGCCAAAAAATATATTAAATTATGGCAAGTTGAGAGAAATTCAAATTCCATCTGGGAAGTAAAGTATTTGTGGGATTAATTGATAATGTCTTGATTATTCATTTACTGACATTATTACAGTTCATCTTCATGAAAAAGATGAGATTTAGCTTTCTAACATGCTTACTCTAGGTCCATGTCGATTTAGTGGTTCAGGAAAGGATTTGCACGTGTATTTGGAATGTCGCACGAGTTCAATTTCCTACGCAATTAAGTGCAAACAATTTCATTTTTTGACGGCCCTATGAATTTTGATTCATGAGGTCAATCGATAAAGGGTAAATATATATAAAAAAAAACATATCTTGTTTCATCCAATAACTTATTACATACCTCTAATTTTAAAATACCAAATACATATACGAATTTTACCTCTGAAGACCACTTTGCACTTCCGCATTAATTAGCGTCGTGTTCCTATTGTAAAAAGAAAATGTGATTTTCTCTCCAACAATGTCTATCCTCAGGTCCTAAATTCTTACGCCCATAAAAATTAAATCACTCAAATGTGGAGCTAGAGACTAAAATATGATTTCGAGAAAGGACAATTTGGTCTTTTCAAATTTTGGATTTTGGTTAGGTGTATGCCAATGTCAATTGTAAAGTAAGTTTTTCGTTCCACAATACGGTTGGGTTGGGGAAAAAAGAAAGCACCGATAATAAGAAACGAACTGTCGTTTTCTAGATTCAAGGGGAAATGCTCCCCTTTTTAACTTGAGATGCAACTGTCTCCTCTCCACCCTCAATCCACAACAGAAAAAACTCCTTCCTTTTGTCCACCACGGAAATAAACCGCTCAAGCAAAATCAAAACTGCAACAGACAAAGAAAACAAAAGCCGAAACTTCATTCCAATCTGATGCATAGAGGGACAGAGAATCAATCCTCCAATCTAATTCCTGTCCATTGACATTCTTCTCGATGAAAATGGGTTGCGGGAAGTCGAAGCATGATGTCACCACCGGAAACACCATTACCAAAAGCAGGAGTTCGGGTGCCAATCCCGAGAAGAGCAAACAAGTGGAACAGAACGTTCCTCAGATGGAAGCAATAGGGAATGACGCGGCATTACTTGCGCAGCAAGAAATCAATAATGCGGTGAGCCAGGATACAGGAACTGCAGCTGATCTTAAGGACGTAACAGAACATCCCGAGCCCGAACGGGAAGAAGAGAGCAAAGAAGAAGAAACAAAGGCTGAGGATGAAGACAGAGAGGAAGAGAAGCACGTAGAGGAAGAAAGGGTGATCGAGCTGGAGCGGGAGCAGGAGCTAGAGCCGGAGACAGAAACAGTAGCTGAAGAGGAAGAGGCAGAGACAGGGAGATTCACATCCCGCGACTCGCCGGATCATTACTTCTCTCCGAGAAGAGACGAGGAAGCACTGGAAGGGATCTTGTCCGAGGGGCTCTCCTCCGAGTACAACTCTCCACGGCATGAACTGGTCAAGGAGGGCGAGTACGGTCAAGTGGTGGTGGAAGACAAGAATGCAACTGGACTGGAAAAGGCAGAGGAATTGAGGGAGAAGGAAAATGGCTCGGCTTCTAATGAGGTACTCGAATAGATCTCTGAGAATTTAACTGCTGAGTTCTAACAATAGAGACACGCATTCAGGATCATAAGATTATGTGTGCAGGATCGCAGACATATGTCTTGACGTGGATGATGTTTATGCTAATTTACAAAACCCGTTCTTTTCCCTTGATTTTGATACATTTACTATGCATTTAAACATTGACATGAACACCAAGAAGTACAAACTTCTCAGACTGACTGTTTGAGCTGGTTTTCTGATTGAGATGGTTAGCTCCTAACAAAAATGACGGAACCATGTTTCTGTGCAGGAATTTGTGGCTCATTTAGCAATTGGAGAAGTAGCGAAGAGCAACTGAATCGAAGAAGCAGGATCGCAGCCTTTTATGCCTTAGTTACTTTAAAAATTACGGTGATGTAATTCAGTTCTCGACGCCAAAAATTGCCGAACAGAGAACAGACTAAAGGGTTGGAGCCTCGGTTGTAATCTATAGGATCTAATAGTGTGCATTGGGGTTGGAGAGATGATAATTATTCCCATATATCACTCCTTGAATTACTATCACCTTGCCGCGTTGCACTCTATCAGAAGATGAAGTTGAAAACAAAAGGATCCTTGAATCACATAAGGTGATCAAATCGTAATCAAAGAATCACAGAGGCTAAGTACTAAAAAAAAATTCACTTGTGCAAATGCAATTTGAATGTGGAGCTAAACTTGAAATAATGACCGAGTATTGGCACTTCATTTTTATTTTAACACATCAAATGAATAGCAGTGCATCGATCGGTATTTTATTCTGCTTGGAATTCTTATAGACTAATGGTCTTACATGTCTGCAAGTCTTGGCAGAGAAAATTGAGGTTGTTAGTCTCTTGGAAGTGGAGGGCCACATCTCCAGAACCAACATCAGGAAGAACCAATTTTCGTGCTTGGATATGAGAGGAGCCCTTTCTTTTCTTAATTGTAGTCTATGACCTTGGACCCTAGTGCTGATACATTTTTAAGAATCATTCAATGTGGACATCTTTATTTCTGAGATGCGTGACG